AATGATTACACGAGTATTTGTTAGTCACGCGTTCAAAACTCTCTGAGTTTCGTGAGACTCGCAATGCTGAGGACTACCATCAAAAATGAAACAGCTGCAAAGTGATTTTCTGCTTTTTTGAATAGATTGAATCCGCCGACAGCACAAAATCTCTATTGATGTCGGGACAACAATAAGAAACTGGGTAGAATAGGTTTCATTGAATTTTATTGCATTTAACTTCCTCATAGTTGTACCCAGCTACTAGCTTGAGGATTACTGAAACAAAGTTCCAGTGCTATCATTCCATTTGTATGCCTCTGGTTTTCTTCTTTGCTTTGTTTTAGTTGGCTGCTTCATTGCTGCATACATAGGTAAGTGCTGTGTGTTCCGACATCTCTGCTGGTCCTTGGCTTGCTGTCCGCTGACTTCTGGATACCAGAAGACACGGATTGAGACAAGAAGATTGTCACAATGGTATTTATAAAGTTATCATAATTTTTCGATAGTCCCAGCTGGTGATGGGACATGAAGCGTCCAACTAAAATTTCTGGCTTCTGACTGGCCCGTTTTCTGACAAATCAGGGCGCCACACAACCGTCTAATCAAAGTGATGCTCGGTTGTTTCGAGCGGCGCACTTCCGGATAAGAAGTTATTACTTGCCCAACAAGTTTTATTTCAAAGTCGGTGTCCAGAAAAATAATATTCGAGGTTTTATTATCAAAACATTAACTTGAAAAGCAAGACAACATGAGAACTGATACTGAAAACGAGGACAGTAGGAATGCCTTGGCCCGTAGTGACTCAAATCGCGACAGACATTTGGTTATGTACTTTGCGGTTTGGTGCAGCATACCCATACCTTAAATATCAACGTGGATTACGGAGTTCGACCTTCCGTAGGCCTATGCGATTTCATCCTCAATTCCCTTGGATTTACTTCGGCGAGAAGGGTGTATTTGCAACACCATGTTCGATCCAGCGCAAATCATCTCTAGCTTGCTCCCATGCCCATGTGTCTTTCGTCATCCTTCTCCTATTCCCGACCGATAATTCTGGTTGATCCGGCCGAAATAAGGGGGAACGTTGAATTTCAACTCCACTCTATTATGTCTAATCTGTGGTGCAT